CCATGCCGGCAAACGCATCGTCCTCGGGCCCTTGGTGCCCGCCATGGCGTGTACAGAGATCTCGGCCTCATCATCGAGCACCTCGACCTCCACCTCCCATTCTTCCTCGATCACCGGCTCCTCGTCATCCGAGTCCACAAACTCGATCAAGTAATTCTGCTTGCATCGATGTCCCGGCGTGTACTTTTCCTCGCACCGGAAACACAGCCCCTTCTCACGTCTCCGTGCCATCTCCTCCTCCGTCAACCTCTTCACCTCGGTTGCCGGCGGCCTAAAGGTGCCCGGCGGCCTCACGTTCGCACTAGGTGCGCCCACGGTCGCCGGCACACGTCGCGGCTCCGGGACTCGAAAGTCCGCCCGTCCCCTTCGAGTCGCGGCCAGGTGATCCTCCCGTCTTCTAGCAACTTCCATGGCCTTATGCATGGTCTCCGGTCTCTCCAATCGCACTTCAGCTGCGAGATCATACCTAAGCCCTTCAACAAACGCGCCAACAAGCGCGCTTTCCGGCCACCCGCGAACCCGGCACGCCAATCTCTCGAACTCCCTTTGGTAGTCACGTACGCTCCCAATCTGCCGGATCTGATTGTTGGAACCCATGAGGATCTCGATATGCACAAATCACGGACAAACATTCAACATAAACCTATGCGCAGCGGATCTAAAGGTTTTGATGAAGAAAACTTACTGCTTAAAATTTATGTAGACTGGCTGGCCCGAACAGTTGACCGCAAATCAAATCTTCTCGAAATCGAACAAACTTGACCAATCCGGAAAGCTGGCATCACGGCGAAGTCAACGGTGTTGACCGATCGGAAAACGGAGGATCCACGCGCTCACACGCGCGCGATTGAGCTTCAGCTGCTGGAACCTCCCGGTGGCGCGTGACGGCGCGTGCGGCGGAGTCCGGCGGCGATCTCGACGGCGATCTCTTCGTCTCGTCGTCCTGGTCTGTAATACCCCGTTCGAATAAGGATTATTTTAAATTATTTTTATTACTTTTAATATTATTATCACTATTATTTGTTATTATTTGATGTTTAATTGCAAACTATTTGTTTAAGTGTTTAATATTTATAAATAATATTTGGGTTATTTATATTAAATGCCTAATTGCTTTAATTGTCTAAATGTTATATTATAATTAAATTAAATATTTATTATTAATATTAATGTGTATTATTAATATATATATATATATACTTATCAGTTTTTTTTTTTATTTTAATTAATTGTGTGATTTAAACCGAGCCCGAGAGGCGAGCTGCATGTGAACTGTTTCCCTTTAATTCCCGGTGTGTGTATGTGCGTGTGAAGTAAATAGCTTGGGGGTCAAGATAGGATAACCTAATTATTATAATATATATATATATATATATATATATATATATATATGTAGATGTAGATATATGTAAAAGTCACCCTCAGCAGAAATCAAAAACTCAACCCCGCAGCCTCCTCCGTCATTGTCCTCCTATCGCACGCAGTAAGAAGAAAAAAATAAATCTGATCGCTTTCATTATTCACGTTCTTCACACCATAATCAGCTCCTCTTGTATCGCCATCATCAATCATCCTTTCTTTCTCGTTCGGAAATCGCGCAACATTCTCGTCCCCTTCAGACGCTACACCTTGCGCCACCATGACCGTTGTTTTCTGTCCGTGATCGCGGGCCATCAGCGAAGTTCGATACGTGCTTGTGAACCCCGTTTCTTGTTCGTGTAACCCCTCGTTGGTCCGCTGCTGTCCCGCGTGCCAACTGACCGTTCATGGCCCCGTCGACCGCAACAACAAGCCATCAGCAACCTCCCGGCGAGTACAACCTCCAACGGGACCCTTCGCAGCGACCAGCAGGAGCCCCGACGAGTCGCCCTCGTCCCTCGCAGCAACCCTAGCAGCCGAGAACCAGCCCCGCTGCCCTCCTCTTCCGACGAGACGAGAGAATTCGTCGAGCCCGGCAACCCCGTTCGTGTCCTACGTCCCGTTTCTTTTAGTTTTTCCCGAGAACGGTATCGAGCCTCGATCCTTCTAGCATTAATTTTCATGTTAATTTGATGTGTTATCGTGTCCTATGAATTATACGTGATCAATGGATTAATGTGAACGTTGTTTGGTTCTGTATGATTATTGTCGTATTATGTGTGATCGTCGTCGGTTCAGGTGAATTGAACGAAAACACATTATAATCGTATTTAGTTGCTGGGGGTATTGAAACATAATGTGTCCTTGGTCTTAAGTGACGGCCTCGGACAAATTCGAGTCTTATCGAGTCGTATATGAATTATTGATATCGTATGCTCGTTGTTTTAGTGTTTGAATTTTTAAAAATTGTATACTGCTCCGATTACTTGGAAATTTTATATGCAATATCCTGTATTGGTACTCCAGGTTGTGTAAAAATGTCATAATTTTTCACGGCCTGTAGCTATTTTTAATAATTAAATCGATTTTTGGGCAAATTCTTGTTAAATGCATAAAAAATTGAGTTGTGATTGGAATCTGATGAAATTCGAGTATGTTGTGTTTCTGGCATGTTTATATGTTGTTCTAAAGTTTTAGAATTTTTGGGCTAAGTTTGATAGGGCAAATAATTTATTCTAGTATTCTGCTGAAAACATATTTTATTATGATTAATTGGTGGTTTACTGGAAAATGCTGATTTTTGGCTGAGGTGAATGTTTTATGTGTGTTTTCATTCTGTAAAAAAAGTTTGGAATTTTTGGAGCTCGAATTGCTTTGGTTTTAATTGAAGTTCGATAAACTACAGAAACTTGTATAAATTTTTAAAATTTGTGTACTTATGGTTTATAGCTGGAATTTTTATGTGATAGTCCTTACCTACTGAGGTTACTCCAGTAAAAATTTCAAATACTAATTCATTCAGTAAGTCAGGCTTTGAATCTTATGTTCATTTTTGTTGTTATTTTGTATGAATTTTATAAAATCATGTGCTTTGAATTTAAGGCTGAAACTTGGTGATTTTTTTAAGTATTGGGAGGTGTATTTTTGGTTAAAATGTCAGATTCTAATTCTTAAGGCAACCTGATCAACTTAATTTTGGTGATTATTGGCTAGTAAATTGTGAAATATGATTTTATGGTAAAAAACTGTAAATCGACTCGCCTTCTGTTTCTTTGTGTGTTTGACTTGGTCAATCTTTGATTGAGATTATGTGAACTCCCATGTGTATTTATTTGAGTCTCAGCATCGAGTCTAAGTGTTCCAATGTACTTCACGAACAACTTAGTTGAATCAAGTTCGACTAAGTATGATTGTGTTTTCTGTTTAAGTCAAATGGATGTTGATTATAGCATCTCGACTTAATGTAGGTGTTGGAGGAGTTGAGCCCTCGACCTACCGACCTGTTTGTGTGCCTTTCTACCGATTTACCAGGTGAGTTTATTTATAAAATTTGCTATGCCGTAAATCATTTATTGTTGTTGGGTTGGTATGATCAATGCATGCTTATGAATTGGTGTAACCTTCGATTTGAGCTGTATGTCCTTCGAACGGTTGTCCCCGTCGATGTGAGCTGTATGTCCTTCGATGGTGCCTTGTGAGGCAATCTCCCTAAGTCCTAATGAAAGGCCATACTGTTGAGAGCTGTATGTCCTTCGGTATGCACTCCCATTGTTGAGAGCTGTATGTCCTTCAGTGGCTAATGATAGATGTGCACATGAGTGAGATTTTTGATATATTGCTTGGAGATGTGACATGTTGAATTGATTTATGATCATGTTGTGACCATACCCTTTGTTATATTATGCTGTTATTTACGTGCATAGTGGTGAGCACTACGGATTCTTTTGTGCTCATCCCCACCTGCTCTTCATGGATGCAGGTTAGTATGTGCGGACACGACGGAGGAAAGCGAGTGGTGGTCGGTCAATTACGACCAATTTATGATTTGATATTGCTTCCGCTTAAGAAACTAAATATTGTTATTATTGCTTTTGTACTATTGAGGAATGAATTATTGAGAATTTATGACCGATGATTGTGACTTGAGGCTATTATTGAATTATTGATGTATGCTGTTGAAAACGGATAGCGCCTCAAGTTTAGAAAATGAATTTGAAAAAAAAAAATTATTATCATGAATTTTGGCAAATAAAAGTGGGGCGTTACAGTTTGGTATCAGAGCCAGTATGCGTTTCTGTAGACTGGCCTAAGTATTGATTATGTGATTATGTGCATTAACCTTGTAATATGACCACTCGCTCTCGTCGTGTCGCGCCTGCTCAGGTATGAGTACCTGAATAATTTTGAGATTATTGTTTGTTGCTTGATTATTGATTATGGGTATGATAAATCGGGGCTTAAGATCTATCCACCTTGATTTAATCGAACTCTAGTGTTGAACTCTAGACTTTTGTATCTATGATATTTTTGCGCTAAACTTTGTTCGACTTATTCAATATAGAACTATGAACACCCGCAACAACCGTAACTGTCAGCCATCCCCGTCTCCTTCTCCGCCTCGTCATCATCACCAGGCCCTTCCGGCCATGGACCTTACACAACTCATAGTCCAGTTTCAGAGAATGAATGCACCGACTTTCGCGGGGAGTGAGAACCCCACAGCGGTACTGGAGTGGATCAAGGAGCTGGATAAGATTTTCACTGTGCTCCCCCTCCCAGACCGACAACGTGTATCTCTCGCAGCTTATCAAATGAAGGAGGACGCTTCTGACTGGTGGATTTACCACTGGGCTCGGAGGCCAGAGGCGGAGCTTCATGCTCTCACGTGGGAGCAGATGAAAATGATTGTGCGTGGCAAGTTCCTTCCCCAGAGTTTTTGGGATAAGATGGAGCATGAGTTCTACCATCTACAGCAGGGCAGCTCCACCGTGGACGAGTATATTCGCACTTTCACCCGGATGTGTCTTTTTGCTGGCGACTCGGTGAATACTGATGCTAAGAAGGCCCGCAAATTCCTTAAGGGGCTTAATCAGAGGATCCGTGAACTGGTGGGGAGTCACGGACTGATGTCTTATGCCGACACTGTGAGTCGGGCTCAGGAGGTGGAGATTTGTCTCATTCCTATAACTCCAGTCCCCTCCTATTATCATGCTTCTCAGCTTGTCCAGACTTTCATTCAATATGCTCAGCCCATCTCCTCTGCGCCGCCTAGCTCTAGTTTGAGAAAAAGGACGGCTGATTCCCACCGGGATGACCGAAAAGGTAAACGGGGAGGCTCGGATAGGCATGACGACCGCCTCGCCACCCTTGGGCCTATTCGAGCGTGTCCTAACTGTGGCAGGAACCATAACGGAGAGTGTCGAGCTACTAAGAAGACCTGCTACAACTGTCAGCGCATCGGTCACTTTGCCCATATGTGTCCTGAGCCGAGGAGGCAGCAACAGGGACCTTATCAGCAGCAGCCGCCTTACCCTCATCAGCAGCAGCTTCCCCCACCGCCCCCGCAGCAGAATGCGCGGTAGCCCCCACCATTTCAGCAGCAGCAACAACAGGCCCAACCGAGGTTTAACGAAGGAGGACGAGCACGGGTACACACGATGGCTCAGTTTAAAGCCGAGCAGAACCAAGGCTGAGCAGTTGATCGAATATCGGGATTGAGATGATTATTTGTTACTTCTTTTGTTAGAACTTCGCTTCTCTTTACTTTTGGATAGACCTTGCTTATTTTCTTTTACTTATCAGACAAGTTCGAATTTCGTTTGAGATTCTTATTGGTTGATTTGAATTTTGCTTCGAGACTTCTGTTGGATGTTCAATTTTCGTTAATTGGAAAGTCTCCCCTGTCTTTTCTTTTCTCGCGTGGGATGAGATTTCAGATGAATTTTAAAGTCTTAATTTTCTGTTGATCATGATGTGTTCTCGTAAAATTAGGACTTTGTTTCATGATATCTTTAAGTCAATGCGAAGGGTTCGAGAGGGCGAATAATGTTGCAACTCTTAAGAACACCTGGGCCTAGTGATAGGCGTAATTCAATCACCCTTTTATGAACGAATGGAGCATCATGCTGGAGGATCGTATGAGGAAGTCACCGCCTACCTGATCGAAGAGAAGTCTTTTAAGGAGAATAGCCAAGGATTTGTGAGAAACATCGTGAGTAATCAGCCAATTGACTCATGATTAAGTACGTGTGCCCTGACAGCGAAGTCGGAGTACTTAGATATTGAAGCTGGGATTAGGGTCGCAAAACACTAGAAGTTTTCTGATCTTCGAGTACGTATCAACACGGGGAGATGTAACAGCCGATGAAGAATGAACCATAGCTACTGGATGCGGGTGGTGCAGGTGTACTGCGTGTTGGTGCCTCGCACAGGCGTGCCACTCTCGGTGATGCATCTCGAGTTGTAGGAAGTGTCGTGCGTAGTGTGCCGCATGTAGCGTGCCGCGTTGCCGCATGCCAGGCCAGCCGTTCATGCCACAGCTGCCAAGTCTCTAGCGTGTAAATGCGTGTCGATTCTAGGAATCTTCCACGTGTATTGCAATAACCTAAGTCTTAAGTCTTGCTTGGAGGTTTTATCTTTATGAGTTGTTGTGCTCAATTGCAATGTAGTTACCACGTGAAGTCAGGAGCTTCGTGGTAGGAGAAGAGGCTACGACCATGTTGCATCAATTCTATTATAACTTCCGACCAGGTCAATGACTTAGCCTGATGGTTGACTCCGCCACTAGAGCATGCGAGGATGCATGGCACGTTTTATGCCTCATGATGGAGGGGACGTGTGCTTGACCTCGAGGTATGTGTGTTTTGTGACGAGCTGCGTGTTAGACAGAACCCTACCTGTATGGAGGTACCGGTGGCCTGTTGGAACTGTCCATCAGGGAAAAGCCGGAAGGGGTATTCGTCAAAATTCGGTGGGGGAAGTCAAGTCGAGGGCAAGCGACTTGGAAGAGGGAAATCGAGATTTGGAGAGAGTACCGAACACCTTGTGTTGATATTTCCCTTGTATTCTAGTTGTTTTAATTTTTGAATTCCGAGGACGGAATTATTTGTAAGGTGGATAGACTGTAATACCCCATTCGAATAAGGATTATTTTAAATTATTTTTATTACTTTTAATATTATTATCACTATTATTTGTTATTATTTGATGTTTAATTGCAAACTATTTGTTTAAGTGTTTAATATTTATAAATAATATTTGGGTTATTTATATTAAATGCCTAATTGCTTTAATTGTCTAAATGTTATATTATAATTAAATTAAATATTTATTATTAATATTAATGTGTATTATTAATATATATATATATATATATATATATACTTATCAGTTTTTTTTATTATAATTAATTGTGTGATTTAAACCGAGCCCGAGAGCCGAGCTGCATGTGAACCGTTTCCCTTTAATTCCCGGTGTGTGTATGTGCGTGTGAAGTAAATAGCTTGGGGGTCAAGATAGGATAACCTAATTATTATAATATATATATATAT